CTTCTTTACCTAATGTCACGGCCTCAGAGCCCAGAGGATCAGCATTGTCAGCAACTCCTGATCAGTTTTGCCACCTGTTCTCAACTCCATTCCAACTGCCCTGAGGCTTTCCATCTTGGGTGAGATTGGGAAATCGCAGAAACTTGTACATCATACTTTCTCTTTCCAGTAGAACAACTAACCTTTCTAAATCTACCCCCACAAGATGATTGAGGTCATTTCAGTGGACATTATCTTGCTCTTAAGCGCTATAGAAAAGTAACCATGAAAAACTTCCAAATGTTGGCTTCTTTCCACCATCTTTTTCCTTCTCACCTTCTCCTCATGTTCTCCAAGTATCCTTAAATTCACTCTTGGATGTCCAACACAGAAGAGTAACCTGTCTCACAAGCAGGGTCAGAGTTTCATCCTGTCCTTTCCAAGTCTTACAACTTGAGCCCCAAAGGAGAAAACTTATGGTCTGCCTTGCAGGGCAGAATCGAAACTAAGACTTGAGGAAATCAAGGGTGAGGGAGGAAACCCCCTCTGACAGGGAGCAACCTTGCAGTCCTTAGGACTCTCTTCCTCTTCTGGAGTTTTAAACTACAAGAACACCAGTGCTTCGGGCTGCCTTCTTCAAGGGTCTTCCCTCACAGGGATCCAGCCTGGCTCTCTTCTAGGGGATTGTTCTTCTGAAGAGAATCAGTTCTGTTTATATCAGTGGCAGGCAGATGCTCCTCTCCACTGTGGCAGAAAGGAACTCAGATTATAGCTGTACTGGGGGGTAGAGGGTTTCGGGAGGATGTTCTGCTTCAGCCCTTAGGCCTGTACCACGTGTACTTGCTTCCATTAGTCTGGACAGTCTACCTCACTTATCCCCATCCCTACCCTCCACCTCCATTCTGCCCTTGAACTAGATCAATAGCTTGTCCCAAGCCCCAGGCAATACTGTTGTGGCTCTTGCTTTCCATTGGAAGACTAACAAATGGGCACACAGGCTTCAAGCTAGGTACCTTCAAGCTAAATCCTTGTCTCTTTATGACTCCCAATGGGAAAGGAGTGTAATTTATGCTTCTTTGCCTTCCCTTCTTCCCCTCTCCCCACCCCCAGGTTCTAGTTCCCTTCTCTGAGAATATTGACCACACTGGAGAACCAGAGGCTGGAGGAAGAGTCTGGGAAAAGGACTAGTAGGAATTGAAAAGAATTTAGTGTTGGGAGTACAAGGGGAACTGGGACTGGGAACATTGAGGTAAAGGAGCAACTCTCTTAGAGGAAGGAGAATTATATAACCAGGCAAAAATATTAGATGGATTCAAAAGCCTGCTAGCTCTCCTGCAGCCATTTCAAACAAGACTGAGTCCTTCTGAGTTCAGAGGGGCTGGGTGATGCTGCAGATAAAAGGGCTGGATGAGTAGGATGGAAGGAGAACCACTCAGTTGATGTGATGAGAGCAGACAGAGTAGACAGGATCATTGGAGATGTGCTCTTTAGGGGGCCAACCTGTCAATATTAGAGCTAGTCTGTCACTGACAAGTCCTGAGGAAACAGGCCAAGGTCAGGAATCAAGGTTGAGGGGGTGGGACTTTCTGTGTATCTAAGTGAAGAGAAGAATAGAAGGGGTCAGTAAGGAAGGGAGGTGGGAGCAGTCAGATAATAGAGATGAAATGAATGGGGAAAAGCCATCATGGGCAGAGAAACTTCATTATGAATGACCATTTATTGGACATTATGTGCCACCTCTATGCTAAGTGTTTTATTTCATCCTCCCTGCAACCCAATGAGGTAAGATTTATCTCCATTTTACATGTAAAAAAATGGGACCCAGAAAGGTAAAATAGCTTCCATAAGGCCACATAGCTAGTAAGTAACAGAGCTAGGATTAAGTTAGGATTCAAACCCAGATCTGACCAATGTTAAAACCTTTTCTTCTGAATGCCATGTTATATGCTATATATGTATAAGAAGCAGAGAGCTAACTGGGAGATAGACAGAGGGAAGACAAAAGAAGTGAAGGTACGAAGAACCTGCAGTGAAACAGAGGGTTGGGAAACTGGCAGATTGAATAGAAGACTGTCTCATGTTTGTGGTCAAGTCCAGGCAACATATGTGTGGTTTTGTTTTCCTATAAAACTCACATTATACTTAACATCACTTGTTCAATGCTCCTCCACCAGCCTATGAACTTTTTTTTTCCAGCCTATAAACTTAAAAAAAAATTTTTTTAATAGTTATATTTCAAACAGGTACAACAAATAAAAATTATTTTTTGTACTTTATGGCAGATAAGCTTGGGTACAAAGAAAGTTTTATGTATATACATATAAGCTGTCAAAATTGCCTTAATATCCTTCCTTTTGTTAAGTGACCCATCTTCAAAGTGTCAGTATAAGGGTAAAAAAACAAAGCAATAACTCCATTTATCATCTTAAGTGAAGATTTCATCTTGAAGGAGCTTTCGGGCATAAAAAACATTAAATAAGAGTCTGTTCTTTCCCACCCAGAAAAGTGGTCTCAACTTCAGTTCTAGCTTTCTTTACTCCAATGGAATCAGAATCTTCCAAGGAACTCTTTTGATTTGTTCCCATACTAACATGATTAGGAAATATAGTCTGAAGAACCCCATTTAAGGCCATTATTTTAGAAACAGTTCAGATGACAATTCTGGAGGTTCTAGAGAAACTGGGTAGATTTCTTGAAAACCCTGGGTTTGTGCAATATCTGCTGCTATCAGGCCACTGGCATCTTTCACAACCTATGGACTTTTGAGTGGTTACCAACTAAAGACAACAACATTGTTCTCCACGACCTTGAGCCCAGAAGAACTTGATGGTGCCTGACTCCTGAAGATCCTAGATAGAGTGGGAGAAAGCTGTGGAATAAAACTCAAAATCATGAAAATAAGAACAGACTTTGTAACCTTTGTGATAGGATAAAAACTATGGCTTTTAGTCACTCTTCAGATCTGGAAATGATTGAGCCCCATAGCTCAATCATGAGCCAAACAACAGACAAATCTGTATGGAGAACACTAGTGAGGTATGCACACCTTAGAATAATCAACTATTTGAGGTCAAAAGACATCATTTACATAAGAGCAAAGTTCAGAAGGATGAGGGAATATAAACAGGAAACACAGGGATGAAGTGGGGTAAGTGATGTTACATTGAGGGGGTTGAGATGAAATAAGATACGTATGAATTATTGAATGGAAAATTGATCTGCTCTAAGTTTTCACCCAATTCACAATAAAAAGAAAGAAAACAAGAAAGTCAAGAGGGCTTGGGAAGTAACACTGAACTAGAAAAGGCCAAGAGGGAAAGGGGAAGATACCTACAGTGTACCAACTATTGAGCTTGTTATCTGTACACATCATATCATGTTATCTTCATAGTAATCCTTTGAAATGAGTATCATTCCCATTTTCAAAGAGGAAGAATTAAAAACTTACATATGGTGAAACAAGAGGTGAAGTTAGAATTTGAACCCAAATTTGATTAAAAAGCCTGTGTTCTCTTTATATCCTGCTGCCTCAACTGGCTTCTGAATCCATAGGGTGTAGAGTGTAGAGCGGGAGAAGGATGTTCTGACAGAAGATGAAAATGGAGGAGTCAGTGGGAGGTTAAAGGATGGACACAGACTGGGGAGGGGAGTTGCAGTAAAGAACAGCCACAGGGGGTTGTGGGAAGTGTGCTGATAACAAAGTGAGAGAACAGGAAATAATAGAGTATTATGGTGGAAGGGATGGTGTGTTCCTACAGCTGTTACTGGCTGTAAAATGGGGTTCAGGGCTTGGGTTGTTAGTTGTATGTAGAATGGTTCCCAGTGGTTTGTAGATGCATGTTAATCAGAACTTTTCAGTGTTTTCAGAATTTAAAATGCATTTAGATTGGACATTCTCTTTCCATACCACCATGAATCTTAACACGCCTTAGTTTCTTACACCTACTAAGTGACCTGCTTGACCCCTGAAACCATTTGAGTTTGAAGCCCTCTACTTTTGTAGAGGTGGGGAATTTAGGCCCAAAGGACTTGTCCAAGGTTTAATAATAATGGTCAACTCTTTTCTTTCTTTTCTCAAAAAAGGAAACTGAGATTTCCGGACACTCAAGCATCAGTGTCTGTATATGAATTCATAGTACATTCAGAGTTACTTGTTGAAGTATACAGAATAGATAGTAGAAGTGAGGTATGAGAGGTGGTGAGCACCACCAGAAAACACTAATAATATTATGAAGGAAGTAAGGCGCTCTGGTAGCGTAGTGGTTACGAATTGGGCTGTGAACCTCAGGGTCAGCAGTTCGAAACTACCAGCTGTTCCGCGGGAGAAAGATGAGGCTTTCTGCTCCCGTAAGGATCTACAGCCCCGGAAACCCTGTACAGGGTCGCTATGAGTCGGAACCGACTCCACGGCACACAACAACAACAACAATGAAGGAAGTATTTAAAAAACAAAATGGAGGATCCCTCCCCCCCCAAAACAAAACAAAACAAAACCAAAAACAGAGGGAATGTAAGCAAATACTGTTGAACAATGATGCATGGAGGAGATTGTAATCATTGCAATGAAATGATGGTGTAATGCCGATGTTCTCCCATGTAAACTATCACTCAGTTCACAATAAAAACTTTAAAAAAAAACAACCCCCCAAAAAAACAAATGGAGAGACTCAAGGTTTAGGACTGAAAGAATGAAGCACATTTAACTTTTATTTGATAAACGAGTTCAGGATTTTCTGTTGTTACATTGCCCATGTTTCCACCTCACCACCACACAACACACCTTATTGCATATCTCACTCTGTCCACAAGGCGTCACTATTGATTTTAACTCTTGCTTTATAGATTGTTTCCCAATTAGCAGCTGGGTTAAGACACGAGAAGGAAACGCTGAGAGTGGAAGGACTGTTTTCAGTCCTGGGCAGATAGCTAAATCTAGTGTGTTTTGGGAAGGAAGTTCAAGGCCATAGGGGCTCAAGACGGGTAAGTTAGAAGGCACAGCAAGAATAGGATTGTTTTGCATGTCATAGTCTCTCCACATAAAAAGCTTTGCCCATCTGATTTAGCTCCTGCTGGTACTGCTGATGCTCCTTTTCAAACAGCTGGTGCAGGGCAGCTTGACGGACCTGGTGAGGAGAACAGAATAGACTGTAATGTTTGCCCTCTGATTTCCACCCTTTCTCACTCTCTTTCCTTAGTTGCTCTCCCATCATTTCAGACCTAAACTTAGCTGTGGCAGAAAGCTAGGTAGTAGCAGAGAGGCTGAACAAGTGGGGGGACATATAACCAGCCTTTTCTCCATGGACCAAGACCCATTTTAAGAAAATATTTGCTGAGAACAGACCACAAACCAGGAATTCATCTAGACACCAGGGATACAAAGATGTGACATGACAGCAACTGGGGACCCTACCTAGGAGGTGCTGAAGTCCTGAAAGGAAGATGCCGGGCACTGAGAGGTAGTTTTGAGTCTCAAAAAATGAGAGAAGCAAGACTGGAATGCACTTTGGAGTTTAAAATATATCACCAACAGCCAAGACTCACTTAGTAAAAAAAGGTTTGGCAAACATATGATGAAATGTTTATGACCATTAGAGAGATGCAAATCAAAACAACAACGAGGTATCATCTCACACCAGCAATAACAGTAAAGATCAAAAAAGTAGGGGACAATAAATGCTGGCGAGGATGCAGAGAGACTGGGCCCCTCCTACTTTGTTGGTGAGATTGTAAAATGGTCCAACCTCTCTAGAAAGCAATATGGCGCTTCCTCAGAAGGTTGGAAATAGAAATACCTTATGATCCAGCAATCCCTCTACTTGGTATTACCCATAAGAAATACAAGCCATAACACAAGTAGATATGTGCACATCAATGTTCATAGCAGCACTATTCACAATAACAAAAAGATGGAGTCAGCCTAAGTGCTTATCAATGGAAGAATGGATAAACAAACTGTGGTACATACACACAATGGAATATTATGCTACCTTGAAGAACAACAACAAGCTGCAAGCCACCGCATAACATGGATGAACCTTGAGGGCATTATGCTGAGTGAAATTAGTCAGTCACAAAAGGAGAAATACTACATAGGACCATTATTGTAAAAGATTAAGAAAAAGAACCCACCCTAAAAGGAAAAAAAA